GAGGGTACAGTCTCTTGGTAGAAAACCACACACCCTACCCAAGCCTACTACCACTAACATTTTTCCTGGGGCTGAAATTCAAAAGATGATACTCCTAGATGGTAGAAATGAGCTGATAATACAAATCCTCAGCTTTACAGAGCTACCCATGTTTTAATCCCATGAAAGTAAAGAATGCTGAAAACGAGATAGATGGTAAAGTCTTGAATGATTCCAGGTTTTTGTTACCTCTGGCATCTACATAAGTGATCTGCCTGGGGCAGACACACATGTAATTCCCCATCCCAAGTCTTTCTTGCCAAATGCAAAGGACTGGAAAGGTTACTGGGTTTTATTAGAGGGCTAAGAGCAGAAAGACATCAAAGAGGAAGAGAGAAATTCATTGTTTTTAATAAGCCTAACCAAATTAAAGTTAGAGAAAATAGATTTTGTGTGAACATATGGCTCTCTTAGATAAACGGGAACTCCAGGTCTTGGATCCTTAAGAGTCCTGGTCAAAGGATCTTGGAGGCTATCAAAACAGGAAGGATTTCAAGTCACTTAGCACTCTCCCAGTGTAAGTTAGGGGGCTAGCTAACAAAGACTCTGAAAGATACCCTGTAGCCTGGAGTCAAACGTCCTCTCCCATCCACTGTTCTCTTCTGCCTTCTACCTTCTTTTGCCTTCAACAAACTGATAGCCCTGACTCCCTCAAATCTCTTACTTTCAAAGTGCCTACTGTTACTTTCTAACCCTCCAAACAAAAAGACTTTGGGACAATCTTTTCAAATAGAAATGGCCCAAGACCACAGGGCAAGTTAACAAGAGTTTTGCTACAGGCTGGTCTCTGCCTCTACTCTATCAACTTCATATGTAGTTTTAAAAAAAAGAAAAGAAAAGAAAAGTCCAGTTGAATCATCTCATATTAAAACAGGATTAAGATCAATGTGTTTCAGGCTCAAGGGCTGCCATAACAGTTAATTCTATTTCCCCAGCCACCTATTACAATGTATTTATGAAAAGTCGATTTTATCAGTTAATTAGCCAGTCCTTAGGAAATTACTAGTACTTCCTCCAGTCGGTCCATTCTTTTTGAAACACAGATCTAAAAAAGAACACTTCAAGGGGAAAATAAGGTCATTTGGATTTTCAAACAGTTCTCTAAATTATATTTGCTATGGAGGTCACGGTTTTAAAATAAGATTTTTATCATGCTTTTTTCTCAGTGTAAAATAGTTTTGTTATTCAAGATGCTGACAGGTAAATATTCACAATATCACAAATGAGATTAAAAAATTAATCTGAAATCTGCATTTAAAAAAATACTATTTATGTATACTAAAGTCTAGTAAAACTGTTAAGTGCCCAGTCTATCCAGAAAAAATTAATGTAAGCTCTGCCTTCCCAGATCTAGAGCATTTTGAGTTCCAATCTTAGCCACCATTTTGATTTATAGTTAAGTCTATGAAAATGTATAGTAAAAGTGTGACACATCTAACCACTGACCCAGATTTCCAGGTTTGTAGGTTCCAGGTTTGTATGTTAATACACATATTTAGCTACACACACATTTATATTATTCAAGATCACACACACACACACACACACACACACACAGTTTTCATCTATATGCACACCAGTATGTCTTATAGGAAAGATGTCAGTTTTATAACTTTGTTTTATAGGTCTCTTCCAAATCCTAGATGGAAAAACTCACAGCACCAAGATATTTAATAAGTTTCTCAGGATCCTGGAATGAAGAGCACTGAGATGTCAGACTGGGTGGCCAACAGTCTCCCTATATCTTTCTGGAGGGCTGGCTCCAGGTCTTTGAAATAATGAGGGAGCCTGTGGAACACACTTGCACATGCCAGTACCTGGCTCTGCAGCTTTGTGAGAGGTTTTTTAAAGATAATATTTTATAATTTTTCTTATTTCACCTATCCCCTCCCACTTGCTCCAACCCACCAGTCAGTAGCTCCAGTGATCTGGACCATATATTATCCCCTCTATAAAATGAAGGGGTTGGGCAAGACTATCTCTACAAGGGACTTGCAGCTTGAACCATCTGGGATCTTCAAGGTTACTTCTCAGGACCAGGGAACAATGGGTCCAACTGGTAGATCCCCTATGGTCTACAGGTTGCACTTTCTGTTCCACTGAATTTGACCTTTAAGAATTTCCAGGGGGGGGGGGGAGGATACTTTACTAACGTCTGTATTTGTGAGGTAAGGGAAAGTCTATACAGCTAGAAGTAAGCAGAGCATTTCTGTAGGACTTACAAGAACAATGGTTTCATTTATTCAAATCACACTTAGAAGACTATGGATGGGAACCCAAATCTGGAAAACTGACAAAACATAATCTCTTTAGAAGCTGAGCTCATAGCACTTACTGAAAAAAGTAAGCCATAATCCTCAAAACTGACATTCTAAAAAAAAAAAAATTACCCACATTACTTTTCTTTTTCTCTCATAAACACAGACTCTGACTCTGCCCCCCACCTCACTTGCGCGTGCGCGCACACACACACACACACACACACACACACAACAATCAAATCATCACTAAAAGGGCAGGAAGAAAAAAAAATAAATAAAAGGGCAGGAAGATCAGTGTGGCAGGCCACAGAAGAATATCTGTTACAAACGCTTTTGCTACTGCAGGGAAAAGGTTTGCCTTACTGGGCAAGTGCAAGTTTGGTTTACAGTTCGTTGATTGGCTGAATCAAATCAACTCATAAGGTTTTATTAAATCTGAATGAGTTTCTCCCCCTCCCCTGGAATAATCATGGGCTCTTCCAGAAGGTGACTGCAGTGAAAACAGATCATCAATCCAAGGCTGTGAGATGTGCTCACAGAGAAGTCTGTCCAGCCTCAGGCTTTGCCAGCTCCCTTGCATCTACACACTGTCACTCACAACTGCAGCCAAACCCGTTACACATAATGGTAAGGATGAACGGCTCAAGTACATACCACTCTGTACTTGTACTCTTACTTAACCTCTAAGACAAGCTGATCTATTTGAAGCTATCCTTCTTAAACCTCTATCTCCCGAAAGAAGAGTCAGAGGGGGGAAAGAATTATTAAAACACTCTTTGAGGCTACTCAACCATCTGTTTTATCCTTAAAGGACAGGAAAGCTCAACCTTAAGAAGTTAAAGCAAAAAGCAAACAAAGTAAAAAACACATCACGCTTGGTAAGTAGAAATCTCTCTCAATGCATCTCCATTTTAGGTAGGCATGGCAATTTAATTAAAGAATTTAGCACATTCTATTGGCTGAGTGGGAATTATTTCTAAGGAGCCAAAACACATTTATTGATTCCTTCACTTTAGCCTATTCCTGCAGATAAACATCTCTCCAAATATAAATCTTGTTTACTGACATCTTTCTCTAAAGAGCATACCTTTGCTTCAGCACATGAAATCAATTTGAATGCAGTCATCTCAACTCCCTTTTAACTCTTTGGGTTACAGAGAAACAAACAAAAGTGTCATAAAAGCATTTCAAAGAACTTCTGCCAAGAAAGCCACCTCCCAAACAAACTGCAGTTTATGCTGCTCTGAGCAGGAACTGGAAAGGCTGGGCCAAATTGTCAACACAGAACAAAGTAGGGTTACAAATCCTGTCTTTTATCTTGCAACACACACACACACACAATATTTGGGTTATCTTTATTTAGCTTTTTAGTGGCAAGCTTCCCAATCACTTGAAAGCAATTAAAAGGGCAATAATTAACATGCATTTACTTTCCTATAGAAAACAACTACAGCAAGCTGTGGCAACACTAAGGTAACTATACATCTGTGGGTTACAGTTTATTCCCTTTTAAATTTCATGGCATTGTGCCTTGAATAGGAGGTCTATCATTAAAGAATATTTTGCTGGTACCTCTGGTCTTTCATCTAATGCTTAAAACAGCCAGCTTTTACTTAGATACAAAGATACCCTCTCTCTCCTATGGCGTCCCCCCCCCCTCACATACACACACACACACACACACACACACACACACACACACACACACGATAAAACAAAGCTGGGAAGAATTTGTTGCTGCAAGATGAGAAATCGAATCTTTGCCTGGCTCAGGTGCTTGCTATTATAAACTATGACTAAGAGACATGAATTTCTCTATGATGCAACTCTCAAGAGAGGCAGCATTTTCTCCAGGCCTCTCTTAAACCTGCTCACTCGCCAGTGACTAATGCTCTCTAGAGCTGCCCTGTGCTGCTCACATTTCATCAGCCGGCTTTGTCCTTGATAGCTCTGCCTGGACCATAAAAGCTCCCAAACCTGTTGAGGACAGCCCGGAAAGATCAGTGCAAAGCTAACCATGCCCTTGCCAGCCTCGAGAGCCATCTTTTGAGTTTCCCCACTGCATTTATTATCTCAATGATACGCGCACTTAATGACCATTTGAAGAAAAAGTTTTTACTCCTCTCTGAAAGATAAAGTCCTGACAACTATGCAAAACACAAGAGTAAATCAGGTCACACTGTGATCACCCAGTGTCAACCCAGAAGTAGACACAAAATTGACAACATGTTGGGTGAAGCCACAATTAACTGGAATCGTCCATTAACTATTTTCTGCACCTTTAAAAGAGAAAAAAGTGTCAGACTCATGATCTGCATCAAGGACTTAATTTATAAAACAAACAAAACACTGCAAAATAAAGTCTGGTTAGAGGATGTTAAGTCGAACATCTTACATATATAATGTAAACTGTTTTTATAATTTTGAGCTTGAAGCCTTGCAGTATTCTTAGGCAAAAAGAAATTTAGGATGAAATTATGTTCAGGAAATCTTACCTGCCATAGAATAAAAGCATTTTAGAAATAACTCCAATAAGGAATGAAACAAAAGTTTTGAGGGTTAACTTTGAATTATTAAAAGAAATGAAACGCACTCCATGTCCAAAAAGGCTGGCGACGGCTGAAAAGAGTCTTCCAGACATGGATGTGCCCAGACCAAACATTTTCAGAACAAATGTGCCACCACCAGAAAGGTACTTACAGTTATCAGACTGGAAATCTGGGACAAACTGTTCATCATCAGGAACTTGTGCTGGAAAAGAGATTTTTATTTTAGACCTTTACGTTTTATTCAAGAGCACAGCAAAATGTTTGATATGGAAAATCGGACAGCCAAGAAACTTGCCTTCAGCTAACCAAGCCTCTTGAAGTTGACTGAGATCCTGAAACAACTCTGGAATTGAAAACAGAAGACACCAGAATGAGAACTCCTGTGCCCAGGAGGGCAGGGAGGACAAAGTCTCCGTGCTGCTCTCACAGGGGCGCCATTTGAAGAAGCCACAGAGCAAAGGGAAAGCTTCACTACCTTCAGAATCATGGGCCAGATCTGTGTCCAAAAACTTTCTCTTTCTGTCAATCACAGGCCGCCCTCGACAATCCTCTGATCGAGATTTCTGCAAGAGGCCAAGAGACAGTGAAGGCTCAAGGGAAACACACAGGTCAAAAGGGGGCTGTGCCACTCAGCCAATAAGGAGGAGACTAATATTCGAAGAGGGAGAACAAAACAAACCAAAGCCACATAAACTTACCCCTGGGACCATAAAAGGGACTTGCTGATCATAAAACCCATCCATGGTGCTTCCAACGCCTCGAATATCACTTTGAAAGGTTTCAGCATTGAGTAATTTCTGGGGGGAAAGGGGTCCTCCTGCAATATGAATTTGGGAGATTTTAACTGAGGGGTGGGGAAGAAGAGAAAGGAAGTAATTTTTACTGCTCTTTCTTTAGGGCCTGTGCAAAATCACTACCTTTTCCCGAAGTACTTAAAGCCCACTCAGGGTGTAAGCTTTACAGGCTAAAGGTGTGCTTGATTAAGGGCATCAAAAGTTCCTAGTGTACTTAGTGTCAAATCCATTTACCAGCTATGCTTCCCTCTCTTTCTTATCATGAACATCCTAAATTTGCTACTATCTGTTCCCTATAAAAACAAAAAACAAAGCCCCTTATTTTCATTATAAGAGGATGATTTCAAGATTCTCTCCAATACAAGATTCTCCAGGGCATTTGTAAAGTTAGGTCTTTCTTTTTTTCTTTCAAGAGATAATTTAATTTTTGACAGTACAGTGACAGGAAGTAGAGAAAATGGGTTTAAGCATTCCAAATTATTGGCAATTAAGAAACTGACATACATAGTGTTTCTAAAAGTGGTTTGTAGGTCAGTGGTAAGATACTATATATAGTCCCAGGAATATATCGATCAGAGATATACTTATTTTCACACAACACTCTTTTAAAACCTAATTCTTCTGTCCAAACAGATGTAGTGTCTGTAAAGTCACAAACATTCCTATGGCAACCTAACAGAGATATCTGTGATATCAACTTCTAAAATAAATAAAATAGCTGTGAAAAGTAATGGATTAAGGAAACCAAATTCCACCACACTTATTTTAAATGTATCCCTACCACAGACCTTAAAAGCATTAAAAGCAAAAGATTTTTTTTTTTTTTGCTGTAAAGAAAATTCAGTTTGTTTCTTATAGTGAAGCCAATTTCCCCCCAAACTTGCCAAAAGATAAAATTAAACTTGTTTGGGCGCTGTCAAGTCTTGGGGCTGGGAAGATAGGTTGAGGGTCAAAATGGAAAGGAGGGGACTTTTTCTAATTCGGGAGGAATAAAGTAACAATTTTAGGAAGGTACTACCATCTTCCCGAACCCTTTGTTTCATTCTCCAAATAGAAATGCAGTGAAATCAGCAGAATAGAGAAAACAGTAATTTCATTTACCCCAGCTCTAAACAGAGCAAAATGCCTAAGGATAATGCTTTTGTTTACCTCCTATACAAATTTTAAATAGGGAACTTCTTCTCAGTGGGCAATTCCGTGCAGCTTGTTTTGCACTTTGTGGACAATATTAAATTTTCTTAAGTAAGGAGGATACAAGAGAACCCTTCACCGCCAACCTCCTCTCAGCACTCTGGCCCAAGGAGTCAGGAATTTTCAAAGTCAAAGAGAAAGGGGGCGAGAAGTAAACTGCACAGTCCATAATTTCCTAGAAAAACACTCCGGCTAGCTTGCCTGCAAGCCTTCCAAAAAGCGCTAAACTCCGAATAAAGCCTCTTTCTCAAATGCCACCAACCCCGTCTACACAACCTGAGAAGCATCCGCAGTGAGTGGAGGGACACGAAAATGCGTCCTCTCTAACCTTCCCCATCTGTCAGATTAAATCGTGACCTCAGAAATTCCATCAGTGTCTAGGAGGGAAGGGGAGCACGGCGAAGAGCTCGGCGGGAGACCTATTTCAGAGCCTCACGATGAACTATGTTGCGACACGCTTCACCACGAGGAGCAAAAAAAAAAAAAAAAAAAAAAAAAAAAAAAACCTTTTTAAAAATGAAAGACAGAAGCTTTGCCATCAGCGAACCCGAAAGAGGCATCGAGGATTTTTTTTAAAGCAAGCTCTCACTCAGAGTTCAAGGGCTAGGAAAATCTTGTTCAAAGTATAGGGTTGGTTGCTTTTTTTTTTTTTTTTAAGCCTTAAGGGAGTTTAAGCCACTTCCTTTGTGGTCCCCCCTTCCCGGTGCCCCCAGGAAAACTTTCACGCGGCGCAGCGGCGCGATCGAGGCCCCTCCCCCGCGGCGCGCAGCGGGCCTGGTTTTATGAATGGGAGAGCGAGCCGCGGCCGCCGCAGCAGGTAAAGGCTGTAACTGGATCCCTCGCGCTGGGCCCCATTCACAAAACAAGACACGCTTCCACCCAATTCCCAGCCTTCCCCATTCATGAAAACTCCTTCAGATGCGCCCCCGCCCCCACACCCAACGCACGCCCAGCCTCCGACGCAGGCCCCTCACCCCAGCGATTTCGGAAGAAAGCTCAATGCTTCATTCACAAAAAAGGGAAAGGAGGAAAAAAAAAAAAAAAAAGCTGCAGGGAGCCGCGAGCCAACGAAAGAAACCCGCTTCATTCATAAAGTCATCCACATTCATAAAACCGAGCCGCGGCGCCCGGCGCTATCAACCGCCCCCGAAGCCCCGCGCCCCCCAAACCTCCAAACATCTCTCCTTGGCACCCCTCCTCAACCGGGAGTTCGGTTCCCTCCGGGGGTCTCCTCTCCTCTGCAAATGCAGACAGATCCCTAACCCAGCGAGAAGCATCTATCCATCCCCGCACCCCCCGCACCCGTTTTCTCCTCCACTATCCCCAGGCCGCTGCTCTGATGCTCCCCGATTTCTCGAGAACCGCGATGCAGCCTGACGCCCTCGGGCTGCTGGGGGTGGGAGTTGGGGGACTGAGTGTCCACTTGCCACAATCTGAAACTTGCAAGGCCTGCGTAAGTTCCTGGCCAAGCCCCAACCCCTCAGGCTGCACATGCCTGTGTCACTTAACCCCTCCTGGTGCTTTGGGGGGCATCACCTCTCAAATATTTCCCTTCAAGCTGCTTCCCGCCCCCTCCTCCCCACTGCAAAGCTCCGCCGGGCGTCTCTTCTCGCGAGCCTCCAAGTCTCCTCCGGGCTCTCAGACCTCCGGAGATTGCAAAGCCCCGCAACTCCGAGCCCCCCCCCCCATCTCCACCCGAGAGCCCCCGCACCCCGCGCCCGGGCGCGCCTCCCCGCGACGTGCGGAAACCCGCTCTTGGAGCGCTCCCGAACCGTTAGCCACCCCCTCCCTACGCCTCCCACGAACCGAACCGGGGCCGGGCCGGGCTGGGCCACGGGAGAGGATGGGGCGGCCGGCCCGGGGGGGGGGGGCGCTCAGTCCAGATAGAAAGTGCACCCAGACTTTGAGGATTCTGAATCAGCCAGTGAACTCTCGCCGGCTGGGCCCTTCGGTCCCGTCCCTGGACACCCCCTCCGAGGCCCCCCTGCTTCCTCGACGCCCCCTCACCTGAGGCAGCCGCTCTCCTCCCGTTGCAGCGGCCCCGGGGCGCAGGCGCGCTCACGCACGCGCGCACCGGGCCTGGGCGCCTGGGCGAATGGCTGGGCCGAACCGCTCCGGGGACGCTGAACCGCTCCGCGCACCAGCGGCTGGACTCTGCGCCGCAGCTGCCAACCAGGCTGGAGCGCTGGCCCGGCCCCCCGGGGCCTGCTGCTCCGCCCGCCGCCATTGGCCGGCGGGCCTAGCTCAGTCTGGTTCTCATTGGCCGGAGGCCGCTCCTGCGCCTGTCCATCACGCCTTGTTTACCCTGTCTGCGGGCAAATCCAGCCAAGCCGCCCCACCAACTCCAGCCCCCATTGGTCAACACCGCGCCCCTCCCCGCCCCCTCAGGGGTCTGTTTTACATAATTTATGCACCGGGGGCCTTTGTCCAATCAGCACAGGCTTGTTTATATAATGAATGTAAGGACGTTTTTCATTCATAAAAAACGCGACCTGAGGGGGAAGCTTAGCTGAGTCAGTGAAGCACTTAAAGGGGCCGAAGCCGCGAAGTGTCGCGTTTACTTCCCTCCTCGCAGCTCTCCCAACTTTTCGCCGAGGCAAGGCTCTCCCCCCGTCCCCACTCACCCCTACTTCTCCCCCCCCCACCCCCTCACCCCCCGCCCGGGTAACGCCACCGCCTGGATGGGCCGCTGGGCGCCAGACGTTCGCAGCTGCAGCAGCAAGCAAAGTTATCATTTTAGAATTCAGGCGAGAGGAATTCGTCATTCCACCCAGAAAGAAACTCGCTGACCGACCTGGGCGTTTGGCCCACAGAAACACAGAAAACGGAAACCGAGCCCTCTAATCTTAGTTACCTTTAAGAGAGGCCTTAATTTCCTTTAACCAGGTTTCCAGTGGGGAAGAATAAGCAGGATCTCCCTTTAAAATCTGAGCTCTCAAACAGATTCCAGTTACAGTTTTATCCTGGCAGAGCCTAAGGCCCAAGCAAATTCCGTTTTCTCCCCCTGTTTAATTGCATTTTACAACCTCCGCCAGGGTGGGTTCTTGACCCGAGAAGAGCTGAGAGAGGGGTCGGAGCTCAAAGAAATCCTCTGCGGGGATGGCACCAACCAACCAGTCGACCGACCCAGAAACGTAAATCCCTCCGAAAGGGGCCTGCAGCGTTAGACCGCCTGCCTCCCTTCCGGGACTGCTTGTTTTCCATTTAAGCGTTGAATGCAAGATGGTGCATTTGCGAGTTAGATCCCGTGCAGCTGGGAACGGCGAGAAGCTACTCTGCCTGCCAAACGATCGGGCACTAACTGCAATTGCTGAGATTCTTAACAGGGTGTTCCAGGAAACAAATAAATAAGCAATCCTCTCCCCCCTCTGCCCCCTCTACCCCCTTCTGTGAAGGCTGGGCAGCTCTCTGCGCTCCCCCAGGATGCTGGGGTGCCCTGCCATTCCCCCCATGTGCCAGTGGTAGGGAGGAAAGACGCCAAATGCTAGGAGAGAACCCCAGTGAAGGGCGGTCCCAGGGTAGCCAACTGTAGGACTGCCACCACCTCTGCCATGGAGAATGCAGTGTGGATTTTTAGAAAAAAAAATATTTTTTTTAAAAAAGATTCTACTTATTCAAGAGAGACAGAGAGGGAGGCAGAAGGAGAGGCGGGCTCCCTGCAGAGCAGAGAGCCTGATGCAGGACTGGATCCCAGGACCCTGGGATCTGGCCCCTGAGCCGAAAGCAGCTGCCCACCCGCTGAGCCACCCAGGGGCCTCTCATCCGTGTATCTTAAAGAAAGAAGCCTCTTGATTTGTCATTTATAGCCTAAGAAATGTTGGGGTTCACCAAAGGAATGTGGAGTACTCTGGTTGAGTCCGGGACCCAGCAGTGGTCAGGTGTGAGTTATTGGCTTTGAAGAGATTAGGGTGAGCATGAGTTGATGGTGGGGGAAGGTGCTCTGAACTTTCAACAGCAGTTCCATGATACTTAATTTCCTAGTCGAGCATTTTGCTTCTGACCCCAGCTCAAGGACAGTTTTTCCCTTAGTGCCTCTCTTCATTCCCCAGGTAGTGCTATTTCTGTCTGGTGGCTGGAGATTTTACCCTAGTCCTGCTGTGTTTCCACTTGGTTGCTACCAGCCCTGAGGGCTTTTTCTCTCCAGCAAGACTCCCTGCCCAGGTTAGCTCCCCACCCACTTCCTCCCCTCAGGGCCGCAGTCTTTATGTGGGAGACATAGCATGTGCCTCTGTTGCTCAGCAAACCACCAGGAAATATCACTGGAATCCCAAATGGTGGACAGAACTGGCTGACGTCACAGGGAAGCAGATTTTAGCTTAATATAGCATTAGGTAGGACTTGGGGTTATTTGGAGTGGCCCAGTGAGAGAACGTTCTCACCGGTAATGAGTGTCCTACCATAGGACGCCTTTATGTAGAAAGATTTAGGGATAGTGCAGAGGGACCACTGTACTGGGTGGGATAGATGAACACAGAGGATTGTTCTAGCTCTAAGAGTCTATGATTCTGGAATTTGGAGCTTGTGTTGGACAGGGAGGTCCTTGGACAGGCACTGTACTGTGGTATAAAATGTGATAGTATAACTCATGATGACCCACCTCGGCAGGCTGACTTCTCCTCCCAGAGTTGGTTCCTTTTTGTTTAGTGTTTCTGATGTCTTTTCTCCACACCTCTTCCTTCTTCTGCTTCTCCTTCTTGGTGACTTCTGTCCTCTGCCCATCTTCTCTAGTTATCTTTGCTTTATAAGAGTTAAGGGTCAGGCGCCTGGGTGGCTCAGTTGGCTAAGGCTCTTGATTTCAGCTCAGGTCATGATCTCAGGGTAGTAGGATCCAGCCCGGCATCGGTATCGGGCTCCACACTCAGGACGGAGTCTGCTTGTCCCTCTTCCTCTGCTCCTCACCCCCTCCCTATGTGAGCTTTCTCACTCACTCAAATAAATAAATCAATTAAATCTTTTTAAAAAAGAGTTAGGGGCACCTGAGTGGCTTAGTCAGTTAAGCATCTACCTTTGGCTTAGGTCATGATCCCAGGGTCCTGGAAATGAGCTCGATGTCAGGCTCCCTGCTCAGAGGGGAGCCTGCTACCCCCTCTTCTTCCTACTCCTGCTCTCTCTATTGCTATTGCTGTCTCTTTTTCTCAAATGAATAAATAAAATCTTTTTTTTAAAAAAAAAGAGTTAAGGGTCAGTATTCAGAAGTTCTTTGTCTAGTACACTGAGTCTTTCCTCCTTAGAACATTACTTACATTGGAGCTTTTGTTCAGCATGTGTTCTAATGTACTGTTTCTTCTCTTCCAGGAGAGTAACAGGACTTGAAAAGATAACAAAAAGAGGGACCAGCCCTCTGAAACACTCCTCTAGTGTCAACCTAGCTTTTGTCCTCCAGTGGTAGCAGAACTCAATTATAATAGGATAACTCGCACCTTGTTCTTCAATTTGCAGTGTGTCTTCAGGGAAACCACGGGGAAGGATGGAAAAAACCAGTCCCTTGCCCCATGCCTGAAAACTTCTCTTCCCTTGGAGGGCAGCTTTTAAGGTTTTTCCTAAAATCCCAAAAGCAAAAAAAAAAAAAAAAAAAAAAATCCCAAAAGCAGATTAAAGTGCAAGGTAGGCAATCCTGCCTCAAGCTGATCACCAAAATAGTGATGGGAAATGTGTCCGTGTCCTGTTCTTGGTCCCTCACATTGGGAAACTGCCTCCCATTCCTCTGTTAGAACTGTTCTGGTGAGGGTAGCCCTGGGTGGAGGCTGGATATGGGCTACCCAGCCCCTTCCAGTATAATACGGAGGAAGGGACTTGAGGGCAATGTCAGAAAGGTAAGGAAATGTTTGTTGGTTTGCTTGTTTTGTCTTCAAGGGGAAATAAAGAACTCCATTTGGCTAGCACCTCTTCCTTTCTAAAATTCAGAAGCAAATACCCTAAAAATGGAAGAGAGGAAAGAAATTTTTTTTTAGATTCAATGTCTCTTTAAACAAACCGGGGCCATACTGCCTTCAGGGTTCCTTATAGCCAGGGAATAATAACAGCTGACATTTACTGAGTGCTTAATATGAGCCAGACACTCTCCCAAACCCTTCACATGTGTTAGCACATTTAGTCCCAACAACAGTCCTCTGAGGGAGGTACTATTATTACCACCTCCACTTTTCACAGATGAGGAATTTTCAGTACAGGAAGGTTCCATAAATCACTCCAGGTCACAGAGTCCTCCGCACACAGTGAGAGGGAGAGTGTACCTGAAGGGGCCCCTCCAGAGCCCACCCTTACCCTTGCTGTTGGGCTGCCTCAGCCTCAGGGAAGGAAGCTGAATGACCTCAGCAAAAGAGCACTTTGCTGCGCCAGGCCTGTTAGGGGATTTGCTTGTACTGACCCACTTGATCCTCCTAACAACCCTGTGATGTAGACACCATTAGTGTCCGTATTTTCTAGGTGAGGAAGCCAAGGCAGGGAGAGGTTAGGGAATTTGTCTAAGACCTAAGAGTAGGAGTAGGAGTCAGGAGCTGAATGCAGATTTTTTTTTTTTAATTTCACTTATTTAATCATGAGAGACACACACAGAGAGGCAGAGACCCAGGCAGAGGGAGAAGGAGGCTCCCTCTGGGGGAACCCGATGCGGGACTCGATCCCAGGACCCCAGGATCACGACCTAAGCCAAAGGCAGACACACAACCACTAAGCCACCAAGGCACCCCGGAACACAGACCTTGAACAGAGTCAGACCTTGAACATAGTCCTTGCCCTGAAACATTTCGTTAGGAAGCCGATGTCCCTCCAGTCTCCCTCTGTGCATTTTCCTCATGTTGCCTGTGGGGCTCCAGCTGCTCACTGACCACTCCCACGAAAGTCCCTGTACTTCCTTGGGAACTTGCTCCAGCAACTCTCACCCGACTTCTGAATTACTATCTTGGGCCCTGAAAGCCACTTTAGAAAGAGAATGGAAATTATGTTACTAGACCCCGAGCTCTGAGCTCTGTGCTAGACACTTCTCGAACATTGAATATTGTCTTTACTTCTCGAACATTGTCTTAGTTAATAACTCCCGAGTCTCCACAGAGGGAGCAACAGAACCCAATTTGCCACTGTGAAAACTGAGGGTCAAAGTGAGAGGTTAATCAACATGTCTGCAGTTATCACAGCGAGGATCGGGCAAGCCAGGCCTCTGACCA